ATGCATATTGTCTTGTAGAAAAAAAAAATGTTGTAAAGTAAAACATTTCTACAGTTTTTGCAAGACCTATTTAATTGAAGATTCATGTCAGCGTAAATTTCTCAGAATTTATAATATTCAAATGTTTCAATACATTTTCAAAACAGTATCTTCAAATTTGTTGCTTATGTTTGTGTAACCTTTTATGTTTTGTGTTTATAAGCATGTTGTCAAAAGAGCACCATGTAAGTATAGAATAAATGTCTTTTTCGAAGAGTTGATTGTTATTCATCTGCATGGGAGGGCTTTTGTTCGTACTGTTATTTTCACAGGAGGGTTTTTTGTCCGCCCTGTCATTATCACGAGAGGGCTTTTGTCCGCCTAGTCCTTTTTGGACGGGAGTGCTATTATCCGGAAGGGCTTTTGTCCGTTTCTGTTCCGGCTTCTGTTCTGTTAAATTCGTTGCATATGGGGTAAAATCATATGTATATAAATAGATTTGTAAATTATCAAGAATCAAGCAATTGTCAGTTGAGAAAGAGTAGCGGACCTAAGCATCGAGCCTTATGGAACACCACTGTTTTATGTCTTCTCATATTTAATAATTGTGCCAAATAACTTAATATAAACATTGCCCAAAACTCTGTGAGATAAATCTAGTTCATTGTTGCAATGTCTGCTCGACTTTATAGATGAATTTTAACAGTTATATACCATTTAAAGTCATCGACAGAAATTTATATGTAGTATCATTAAAGTTAAATAAAAAGTTATTTAAGAGGTAATTTTTATATTAAATTTATCTCAATTTTAAAACATGCTGAGTTTTCTGCTTCAAATAATTTTTGAACTTACGGTTTAGGACCTTTTGTACGCTCCCTTCGCAGCTCACTGAATACACTCACGTTACTTCAGAGCGATAGTGGAACATTCGACCGATGCGCAGGAGAGTAAACCTTTAGGTTAAAGTGACATTATGTCCATCAAGAAATAAGTACACACTTTCCGATAAATGTTTCCAATTTCATATTTTAATTTTAATGAATACTCTACAACCAACATGGCAAACGGGAATTTCTGTATGTATTTGATAAGAGTGGGACAATCTTTTGATATTATTGTAGGCAGTATTTTTTTATATTTTATCCGAAACATTTCTTATTATCAATTATAACTCTATCGCCGCTAGAATAGTCAATCTTTTGAAATATATGTTAAATTCACTCTTACAACGTTTAATCCATTTAGTGTTGCAGATAAAGGGATATAAATCTTATACTAAAACCACGATATGATTTTAAGAGTTGTCTTTCTTCCAAATATTTACTACAATAATGGGCAATTTATTATTTTGTCATTTGTTGATTGCCTTACATTCTACAACGAGACAAACTGATTGTAAAGCAACGTATTTCTTCTTTGAAAATATATTCTAAATGTCATGTTAAAATGTTCTAATATCTTGTTCGATACTACTGAAATATATACGTTTTTGTCAATTTCTATTAATGTTAAAACATATCATGGTGATTTGATTTATTAATTAAAAAAAGAACAACAAATTTTCACAATTTCAAATTTGTATTCAATTTTATATACCAATAAAACAAGCTGAACTAACAGTCAGAGATAAACATTTCAACTATAGACAAACACTTTTTGTTTTTCTATAACCATTTACATAAATACATTCTAATTGTAGTATATATTATGAGAAATATATGTGTGTATATATATGATCACTATTATTTTTATTATATATGTATTTACATGTATATTACAAAATACACGTGCCATTGTTCGTTAGTCAAAAGCATTGTATATGTCGAATTTTCTAAAAAAATGTTGTTGTTGTTGATGTTTTTAAATGCTAACGATACAAGTTGTTGTATACAAAGACTTGCTAGCGGTTTCGGAAGGCAAGAAATAAAATTTATACATAAATTCACGTTCTGTTATTGTCTTCTATATAAGAATATAAATAATCAGATAAGAAATAATTCAATTAAAAAATGAGACTACCATAAGTGGAGAATCACAAACGGCTCGCAATTTTAGAGCCGATGGCATGGACGAGTGGTTAACGGGCAGGACTAGTTATCTTAGGATGCTTGCCGTGTTGGTTCAACTCCCGTTAAGTGGCAACACGTTGTTACATTGAGCAAGAAACTTTTACACGCATTGCTTAGTACTGATTGCTTAGTACTTGTTGGTTCCAGGAGCGGATTCGAAAGTGTTTCAATAAGCTTAGATAACTTCCGACACATCGTTTGCATATGATGTTTTGCTTTACAAGAATAGTATCAGGAAAATAAAGATTGTATATCAGAAGAAGCGGACTACTGCTTGGTTCCATGAAGCCGACTTCTGGTTGGTTCTATGTAGCGTACTTCTGGTTTGTTCCATGAAGCGGTCTACAAATTCGACTATCTACACCTTCTACAAATGGTTATCTAGGAAAAGGTAGTTTATATGGATAGTTATTATGGAAAGGCAAATGGAGGCATTGGTGGACAGACGATTGACTGTGGGAATATTTTCAACGATGTTCGACATCAGCTATGGGATGGTGCAGCTAATTCTAACTAAAGTTTTTAAAATGAAAAACGGGTTAGTGCATTGACAAGTTTTAGTGTTAAATTGTACAAATTATTTTACTATTAACATGTGTTACAAACTAAAACAAATATCAATGTTTTAACTGTAGCATTTTTTTTAACAAATAAATAGTAAGGTTTAACATCGGTTGTAGATGGTATTTGTTTAATACATTGGCAATTGTGTTCTGAATAGTATCATTTATTTGGCCGTATGTATGATGCATTATTATTCGGCAAAATCATATTTTAAGACAAATGATAGTTTATTACAGGTACGACCTTTTTCGTGTTTATTCCAGGAATGAAGTCATAGTTGAAAGAGTGGATGTTAACCCTAACACTTAATCAAGTATGGCATTTCTGCAGGACTTGAAGTTAACACAATATGTGACGAAATGCAGATTAAAGGGCCGCAGAATTAAGAATGTGTTCGAATTTAGGTTGTGATAGAAAATTTAATTTTTTTTTTCGGGATACTGAATGTATGTGAAAAAATGCTCTAGTCTTTCTTTGCTCGTGGTGTTTATCAGTTTCCTTGCACAAAATCAAAATTATGTTAAAAATGTTGGACAAACTTGTATTATGTATTTTTCATTGTTGAGCTGAATTGACAATATATTTCAAAAGATTGACTGTGATAATGGTGATTGAGGCCTAAAATAAAGAAAGACTGTCTCACTCGTTTTAAGAATTGTACGTTACAGGTTAATTTCGACGGATATTTGCTGAAATTTCCCTGGTCTGTCAGTTTTTTTTATCGTTGATGTGCAGTAAATTATAAAATAATTAACGGAATAATGGCAAAATGTACACTTATTTTGACTTTCACCTAGTCAGTCGATGGGTATAATGTCACTTTAATATAACTTTGCATGCACGGTGTCCGCATTTCATTTGTACCATTTATATTACAAATTTACAGGTAAAGAAAATAAGACAGATACTAATATAATAAAACCTTCATTGCTTGCAAATTATGATTTTTATTGAACGATGACTAACTAGATACAATATATTTCATAATCAGAGTCCGTATTTCAAATGGAAGTCGTTGTTGTAGTGAACCATGTCTGAAAATAAAACAATTATGTATAACATATCAGATAAAGTATATGTATCGTTATATAAGGCGGTATGCTTCATACAAGAACCGATTATTTAGAGAACTGCTGCTTATGTCGCTAATGTTTCCCTATGTCGCTAATTTTTCCACATGTCGCTAATTTTTTCATATGTCGCTAATTTTTTCACATGTTGCTAATTTTCCATATGTCGCTATTTTTTCTTTTAATGAGAAAAAGAAAAGAAAAAAGAAAAAACGTATAAATAGTAAGTGAATGAATATTGTTCAGGCCGCTTTCCGACATTGCTCATTGTCATATTTCATACGAAATATATGTAACAAAGAAAATATATGCATGTCTTTGTTTTAATTAAAAATGATCATTTTAAATGAAGTAATACATGTAGTTAAAACGCTAATAAGAAGAAATTAACCGATTTAAACGGCCGAAAAGGAGCGATGCGATAGTACATGTTAGTGTCTGAAACAAGTAACAAAAAAGAACAAAACAAAAAACAACAAAAAAAAAATATTAGGGGTAAAAAGTAAAAATGCCGTAAAATATTTTTTTTAACATAAATCAATAATAACTTACATGAGCCGTGAATTTATCCGCGGCCCCATTTTCTGCTCACATATCTACAACACATAACCATCTTGCATCGTTTACAAAGGTTACATGTGCCGACGTATATTTTGTATTTTGGGCATCTTTTCTGACACTTACATCTGTCGTATTGCCAGTGACGTCGGCGGCCGCTGTAAAACATGCCACCGGCACCGCCTCCGAAATACGCGCCGGCCCCGCCTCCCAAATAAGCGCCGGCCCCGCCTCCCAAATAAGCGCCGGCACCGCCTCCCAAATAAGCGCCGGCACCGCCTCCCAAATAAGCGCCGGCACCGCCTCCCAAATAAGCGCCGGCACCGCCTCCCATATAAGCGCCGGCACCGCCTCCCAAATAAGCACCGGCTGCAGAATATGGAGAGATACCGTACGAACGATACCCAAATCCACCGTCATCACCGTAGCCATCATCGCCATAACCGTAACCGTCACCGCCTAACCCACCGGCCATGTATCCACCGAATCCACCGTCGTATCCACCGAATCCACCGTCGTATCCACCAATCCCTGCACCGCCGCCACCACCACCAGCATAACCTCCCCAACCGCCTCCCCAACCACCCCTCCGGTAACGTCCCCAACCACCACCCCAATGACCTCTCTTCTTATGTCCTGAAAATGACAAACAATTGCAATATGTCATAGATAATATATTTAAAGAAAGTCCATGATGGCGTGATACGAAATGCATACATGCTCATTTTCACGTAAAAAATTAAAACCTATACATGAAATAAAAAAAAGGTAATTAGCCATTCATGCCATGCATAATATCTTTTATAAAGATGAATAAGAAATGAATTGTCATTCATAAATTAATGCTAATGTTACGTTATTAAGGTTTGTTTGTAAAATATGCTATCTTGGTTTAAAGTACCTGGATTATATGTACATAGGATAATTCAGATATGCATTTCTATCATTTTGATTATCCTGTGTCACCAATATAGTGACATGCAGCCTTCACATCCTGTGGACGAATCTTATTTATAAAATTATTCCAATAAAAACTGAACACAGCCGATAAATAAACGTTTCTGTAATTTAGCAGTAAACAATGAATAAAATAAAAAATAGCACCTTTCCAGTTCAACTGTTGTCATCTGTTCTCAGACAGTATAAAGAAACACCAAAAGGTCCATTATCAAGGTGCAATTATGACATTATATAATAATTTTTATCTTTTTATATTTATTTATTTATTATTTTGTATCATCACTGAACGATGTTAACATTTTTAATGATATAAGTCAATGTACTATAACTGCAGGCAAATATAAGTCTCAGAAATATATAGATTTTTGTACTGCTGTAGAAATTTCAAATATATTTTTAAGCATGTTTAGAATATCTAAGATGCTTATCCTCCCGAAGAAAGAACTAGTTTGTGGTAAAGGCGGAAGAATGTTGACAAAGTGATATTCTGACTTTCATACAAAATACAATATCACTATATGTGAACCTATTTCCAAAACGCAAGAGATAGCTTTGGTATATAGCCAATGAGTGACGTTTTGGAAATCAGGACATTTTAAACTAAACGTTACTTAGAAATTTAGAACAAGTATGTCACTAATGGTGGCATGCAACACCTTGTGAAATAGTCTGAAGAAGTATTTACATTTATAATATACGTATATATACGTATAAATGGAATATTGAGAAATATTGATGAAATACAATGCGTATTTCATTTTCCATACTTTAACTGTAAAAAAAAATCATATCACTCGAAGAAAATAAATTCCGTATTTATAGAAATAAAGTGAACATTCTTCTTTTTATTTTATGCTTTTCAGTGGAATTACTGATTTATCCGTGAAAATCATATTTGATAATTTCACAATGAAAGTTATCGAAATATAATTTCACACTTTTCAATGACGAAACTACTTTTTAAAGTTTTTCGGCATGTGGTACCTCGATTTATTTTTGCTGACAATTCTGACATTGTCAGGGCTGTTTACAGAAAAGCAAAGCTAAATCTAATAAATAACTTAAATTTCAAAAGTAACAAAAAGAAGAAAACTTACTTTAATTCATACAAATTTCCAATACCAAATATCGTCTCTAATTTTTTTGTTTCATTTTTACAGTATGAAAAATACAATTCCTTTCACATGCAAAACTGCTCTTGATGACAGTTGGGCATATTTAAGTATCCTAAGAGCAATATCTGCCTAATGCAATATGAAAACTTGAAAAGCAATGGCAGCCATAGGTCTGAAGAATAAGTAAACAACCCAGCGTTCGTATGGCAGCCTTTCAACAATTCCATGTTTTCCGATTTCAAAGCCACTTTTTTTAATGTTTACACATCTGTTCACACTTATTGTCTGAAACAATCCTCAAATAAGTTTTCTTTCTTCTAAAAAGGTGTATGACTAACAAATCCAAATGATATCCCTCTGCATCAAACACAATTGTTTTCCTCCCGTGAAATACACAATTTTAAAAAATGGCGGCCACTTACATTTCACAAAGCCAGGTCTTATATAAATTCGCAGGAAGTAACGGAAATAAGGCCGGATGGTGTGACTTTTCTTCTACTAGTTTGTTTTAATTATTAAAACAAGCGATCATTCATATTTTTAATAAAATGAATAATATCACCGCCATTTAACGTTGATTGTCGAACTTATTTTCAGCACAAGACTTCTTGTATTTTATTAGAAATTCGACTAACATGAGGCTACCAGTGGGGAGAACAGATTTTAATATTCAAGTAAATATTAAAGAAATATTCGTTTTAACTTGTTTTTAAGCATAAAATAAAAAGAAAATTTGTTTGTTTGTTGTGTCAGATGTAATTTTATTTCATCTCGTGAACTTTGAAAACGGTATTCGTCGCCACTCGTGAGAATACTGTTTTTAAAGCCCACTCGATGGAATAAAATTTCATCTTACACACAAACAAACAAATATCCTATATATCTATCATTTGCATGAAATATATTTCAACTAAAACGTTACTTATTTCTTATAAAAACAGCACTAACCTTGAACGGCGACAAACACCGCCAACAGGAGTAAGATGGTAACAGTTGTCTTCATCATGACGCTCTGTCTTCCGTTGAGACGCTAAAACCACCGTCTGCCGTAACACTAAATGACGCGGCTTAAATAGTATCTCAGTTTGACAAAAACTGATTACAAATGTGTAACATTTGATTAAGATTATTTCTACCTTTGTACTATGTGCTTATTTATCATGCTAAAGGGAAACCTGCACTCTGATGAATTACTTTTTCTACACGTGAATGAAAAATTATTCAACTGAAATTGCACGTGCATTTGTTAATCTTAGTGTTTAATTTTTAGAAGAATTATTTATGTAAGTAATTGAGTTTTTTTTTTATTAATTACTAAACTCTTTTTGTAAAATATTGCAATAATTAAATGGAAGTGATAGAAAGTTTAAAAAAATGAAAATGAATGTAAATGAAGACGCAATTGTGGTTTCTGTATAGGCTGGGGAGAGGAAACAATACATGGCAAGAAATAATGTAATTCATTCCTGCACCAAAGGACACAAATTGCGAAACAAGTTCTTGCAACTTATATTAATCACTTTCGAGTCCGCTTCCTGGAACCAACCAGTACTTGTGTCATATGAAGAAACATGGTCGTGATCCGATAAGGGCTCGAGCCCATAATCCCTGAACCCATAATTTCCTCGTGTTTGCTGTATTATACAAAGCAAGAGAAAATAAGCTTTGAACCCTTAACCTGGTGAATTTTAGTTATGGATTTGCTATTCTTTAAAGTTGGAACAGTTTATTCTAAGATAATCAAAATACAAATACTGCTATTGCATAGGTATGCAACCTCACTTGGTACTTCCCCTTTATTTACATTGGAGATTTTTATGATTTACCTTTTTTTAATTACTTATTAGAACTACAAGTTTATGCTTTGCCCTCGGGCCCTCGCTTTTTTTTTTATCTTACTGGGCTCCTTGTCGGTTGTCCGTTCTTTGTTGCTGGGTTTTTGTTGGAGATGCGCCCATTGAATGTCGTTCTTTATTAATGACCTTCTTTTTCATATTTTATACTGGTGGCAAAGGTTATTCACTTAAGGCTCAAGATGTTAAAGGGGTAATTTACCCCCACATAGCTACGTGAACTTCCTTTTCTATTTTAGATACATTTGATGGTATTCTAATCATAGGGGTGGGTGGCTAAAGTAAATTGTTATCTGGGTGTAGGTTTTATGATGTATACACTAGTTAGAGTGATTGAGACTAAAACAATCAAGTTAATTTTTTTTAATCTTGTCTTATATCTTAACCTTTTTTAAATACAATGTATATTAATCATAAATGATAGCACCAGAGCATCTTTGCAAGCTGCCTTATATTTTACTAGAAAAAATACAACGGAATCCCTAAAAAACACTTAAAACGGCAATATTGAAAATGTTGCCGTCTCGGTTTGACGAAGGTAGTGGCAAGTACAGACTACCGTCCACAACCCCCTAGTACCGGTTTAAGTAGAATTCATTATCTAGACATAAAATGGTGAAAATTATAATTTAGAAACATCTACTGATGTTTCCAGCTATCAAGATCAATGTATACATGTACAAGAGGATAATAAGTAAATAAGTAAATAAATAAATAAATAAATAAATAAATAAATAAATAAATAAAAATTCACTTGTTCATTCTGCTTGTTAACTCGAGATATGAAAATGATAAAGCCATGTTTATTTGATCGAAACTCAATTGATTTTTACGAGTATCATAAGTAAATTATTTTTACATAGGACTTCGAATGCGTTTGAATGTTTAATGGACCGAGATCTATAAAGAAAGCTCAATTGAACTTAAAAGGTCCGAGTACTTATAGTATGATATACTTACAGAATTACAAAAAAAAAAGAAAAAAAGAGAAAAAAAAGAAAAAAAATCCTATAGAAGCTGAGGTGGAAACACAAAAGTCCCTGTATTTAGAAGACAACTATCTTTTAAATAACAGTGCCATTTCACCTTTATTCAAATAACGTTATTGTTTCCTTTTAATATTTAGAAAGGTCGCCCTGCACGCGAAAGTTAAGTTGGTTCTATATTGCATGACCATTAATGTACTTTGAACACTTTTGTCAATAAAGAAGTTCAGTGAAAAAAAACAAAATTGCAACAACGTTTTCATATAATTATTGCCAAGCTTAATCAGTGTTTAGTTTTTATTTCATTAGCCTATTTCATGTTAATTGTAGTTTTTGTTAATGACACACTTTAACACAGAAATTACACTTTTAACACTAGCCAAGTCAGCACTTTAGAAAACTTTAAAAATGTAAATAATTAATCAAGATTACCGAGAAAAGAAAACAACAAATAGTTGCGACATTTAAAAGAAAGAAAGAAAAAAAAACATAGACATTGTAACGGGATTTTGTATTCATGTTATCAAACATTGTGTCATCTTTTTGAATTTAGTCTTAAATTAGTCTGTTGTAGGCACATAATATATCAAATTTAAATAGGTCTAATTAATAATAATTTGTCTCAGAATTTCGCGTGATTATCTTAATTTTATTGCTTAATCATCAAAACATGTACGGTGATAAAGAGGGGATATGAAGTTTTAGGTTTATGTGCCACTTTGATACGGTGTTACAATCTGATAGTGAACATGTATATGAAATATTTAAAGTGAATAGCTTTAATAGTTTCTGTGAAATGGCATTTTTATTTTTTTAAAAAAAGGTTTACCAGTGTCGACACTGGCGGGGAAGTCATGAAAATTAGAGCTGCAAATGATTTCATTATTATTTGTAAGCTTTTATTATAAAATAATGAATTATATTTTATGTCCTGAATCATTTTATAAATAGGAATTTACAGAATTCAGTTGTCTCCTAAAATGAAAAAATCTTTACAGGTATCAAATCCATAAATTCCTAAATGATTTTACATTTCTTTTCTGGTCTTTGATGCCAACAAACGATTATAAGTTGAATATACAGCTAGAGGAACCAAGTGGTACACCGCATGGCAAGTCTTATACGATTACTAAAGCAATGTATAGTCCAAATATGTTACCGTCAATGGAGAGTATCCTGTTTTATTATGCCTCCGAATTATATTGAGAAAATACGACATGTGGCCTTAAACTATGTTATGGTTTCACGCGTTCAAATATATTGTACGTCATTAGATTTGTTTTCGGAAGAAGAATTTAATGCTCTTTTTGACGTTAACCGTCTTTAACGTAAAGAATAACACGCAACAGAGCACACGTAGTGAACAGTCATTTAATGAGTCTGATAACAATTCAAAAATGCGAAAAATCCAAATGATTTAGAATGTGTTCTGTCTACTTCTATTTGGAGAAATGAGATCGCAGATACATTGTATTTTTGATCATAAATAAGCCAAAATATTGTTTGAAAAGTTTGATATTTTTAGCTTCTTCTAAATAAAGAAAATATTAAGTTACGTTTTCTTTATTCACTGTTACAATGCATATACGAGTGATATTTTTGTGCAATAACTTAGCAAGACAATCAACAATCAACATTCAATGTCTAGCTTTACACTCATCATTCAGTTCAGATGAAAGTAAGTCAACTTTATTCACTATACATTGTTCATTGTAGTGAACCACCGAGAAGTTGTAAGGCAAATTAACTAACGTAATGAGGACATGTATCAGACGACAGACAGTAATCCGAGGACATGTCGTATATTGAGGAAGGACCAGGATTAGTATGAGCATTGCAAGCGAGAATATCCATATATAAAGCAGAGGCGAAGATATATTAATGAAGTATTTGTTGATATCATTAACAATATTATTAGTTTTGAAGAATATCTTAGCTGAATTCTTCAACTTTGGTATCTAATAGAGAAAGTAACAATAATTTGACGACTTTTCAAAGTCAGATTTAATGGAAAAGAGGCTATACATTTTGGATACCAAAACAAGACATTAAGAAAAAAATGAAAAGAAGCGAAAAATTTAAGGAAAAGTTATAAACAGGAAGAGGTTTGCTTGATTTTTTAAAGGCTTTGGTCATGGTTGGTTAATAAAGGAAAAGCTTTACTTTTTCTCGCAAACCAGCAATTTAGTAAACGTAAAGTGAAAAAGGCGATATGAACAAGTAAATCAGTTGGGAATGAATAGATATATTTGATACCGTTAATCATTTTATTGTTTTTCATCATTTCATTTTATTTCGCTATTTAATTTCATAAAAGTATATGGACTACAAAGTAATTGAACATTCTTACTTATGATCTATAATAAATCTATAATTTAATTCAATACCGCTCTTCGTAAATGTATCATTCAATAACATTGAAATAAATGCTTCAAACAATGCTCTTGGGGGGGGGGGGTGGAATAAAAAAAAAAAAAAAAAAAACAACTGAATTTTTCATTTCATAGAAATCTGTTCAAAGTTTCAAATATAATTAAAATACTATTCAAATCTGTTTAATGACTGTTAAAAAATTCAAATCCATTATATTTTGCTTAACCTTACAGTCGTGCAAAACATCATAATTATTTATATGATTCAAAGACATGATAATACATTTATAAAAGAGAAATTGAACAATGGCAAACTATAAACATATTGCGGAGGTAAATATCATACTAAAAGTTGCACATCCATGGAGATTTAAACTCAAAACATCATTTTTATATCTTTAAACGCCCTACGATATTCGGACTTCTCATTTCCATACCCACGTTCCACAGTATAGGTCATATCGCGACGTTCCAGCTTAACTGGTGGAGGAAGACCTCAGGTGCCCTTCCGTGCATTATTTCAGGCCCGAACGGGCACCTAAGTAGAACCACCGACGTTCCGTAAGCTAGCTGGATAGCTTCCTCACATGAAAGAATCCAAAGTCCCTGTCGGGATTCGAACCCACAGCGGTGAGGGGCAAGTGGTTTGAAGTCAACGACCTTAACCACTCGGCCACGGACGCCCCTCACCAGATTGTAGTCGATACTTTAATTGTATTATATTGCAATTAAATTGCAATTTATGATAATTAAATAACTTTTATAATCTAGTATTATTATAATGGTACGTCCTAATAATAACAATTTTTATGGTGTTCGACTAATATTTTCACATTGGAATTAGGATTATATTCAACATTGTCAAGAAGATGAGTCTAAATATCATTTTATTTAGCAAACAGTTTAAAACATTGTCTAATTTCTGCTGTAACATATCTTTTATTAAACCCATATGTAATAGACATAACATTTTTTGTACCAGTATTTGAACATTATTTAGCTGTTCATATTTGCACTTTATTTATTTTAATACTTGTTTCAAGTAATCATGTTTCAAGTTATTCTAATGTCATTATTTGGATATGTATAAAAACTACATGAAGATATGGAATAATCGACGTTTAGCATAAGTTGCCGAGGACATCATTCTAGTGTTATAATTGTTTATGTCATTGAAGATATTTGATTTAAATACTTAATGTTGAAGATTGAATTCCGCTTAAGGCGGTGCTAGGAGGGGTGAGCGCTTAAGGCGGTGCTAGGAGGGGTGAGCACTTAAGGCTGTGCTAGGAGAGGTGAGCGCTTAAGGCGGTGCTAGGAGAGATGAGCGCTTAAGGCGGTGCTAGGAGGGATGAGCGCTTAAGGCGGTGCTAGGAGGGGTGAGGGGTGTTATACTTTCCGTTATCTCTCACTAACTAACTTAATTAAAGTGCACCTACAATTTGAAACTGTTTGGTATGGATGCTTTATTTATTTGTTCGTAATTTCTATTAATTTACCAAATATCATACATTGATATACATTGGCGTGGCGGCATTGTTCAGAGTTTTGCGTCTTCAAAAAATAACTAAGCTTCTGCATACATTATTCGTGGCGATGGAGATTTCATATGAAGCCTTATGGATAGATAATAATAATAATAATACACGTAGCAAGTTACAAGCTTTATTTACTGCATGAATAAACTAAATAACATATGAAATCGAAGTCCGTTTTCAAAAAAAGTCGTTCTCTGTCCTCACGCATATCTGAAAAATGAAAGAATCCTTTTGAATTACAAAACAATTTAAAACGGTCATCTTTATTTTAAGTCCTTTAAATGAAATATGTAAATATGTGTTTACAAAGATTTTACAACACACATACACATATGTATAATACAATAAATCGGTTCACTGTTAAATTTTTCAATAAGAAACGGAAATATTGAATTAATAGAAATCAGTATGAGAAAATATCATACGTGATTTCGTTATTAAAATTATCTTTGTTTATTATGTTTTACTTGAAAGTATAAAATAATGACTTACAGGTCAGGTTAACTTATCCGAGGCCCCATTTTCTGCTCACATATCTACAACACAGTACCATCTTGCATCGTTTACAAAGGTTACATGTGCCGACGTATATTTTGTATTTTGGGCATCTTTTCTGACACTTGCATCTGTCGTATTGCCAGTGACGACGGCGACCTCTGTAGGAATATAGTCCTGCACCTCCCCCGCCATTGAATCCACCTGGTGAAAATCCCCCAATGCCACCGCCAATTCCTCCTGCCCCAAGGCCAATTCCTCCTGCTCCTCCAGCAAGGCCAATTCCTCCTGCCCCAAGGCCAATTCCTCCTGCTCCTCCAGCAAGGCCAATTCCTCCTCCCCCTCCAGCAATTCCATCGAATCCATATCCACCATCATACCCATATCCATCTCCTCCTCCTCCTCCACCAAATCCGTTGTATCCACTGTACATGCCACCACCGCCACCACCACCACCGCCACCACCGCCCCAGCCCCAGCCGCCTCCGCCTCCGCCACGGCCCCAACCGCCTCCGCCTCCGCCATGGCCCCAGCCGCCTCCGCCTCCGCCACGGCCCCAACCGCCTCCGCCTCCGCCACGGCCCCAGCCGCCACCGCCTCTCCAGCCACCGCCTCCGCCGCCTCCCCACGGATGTTTCTTATTATGGTTCTTCTTTCCTCGCCCTATTAGTAGTAATGAGTAAATAGCATAGAGAAAGTTGATAACGCAGCTTTAGTAAAAACGTGTCTGACAATATAAAATAGAAACGCAATTTAATTGATAATTACTTAAATTAAATAGAAATATATTTATTATACTCATAAACATGTATTACACTGGACATATTTGAAATGTACCAGTTTTGAAACTTTTATGTGCCGTATCTTACAATAAAGTAGTAATAAAGATCTTACCGTTTACGACGACAAATAGCGCCACAAGAAGGAAGAAAACTGCCTTCATTTTGACGTTTTATTATGTAGATCGACAGACTTCTGCATTGAGCAAGAAATGGTGCACCTTATATAGTATCTTTGCTTATAAAAATTAATAAAAAAGTAAAAGAAATATATAAAATTAAGTAGATTAAAGTTAACCTCTCTTTAATTAGTTGACATATAATGTGAGAGACGTTGCAATGGATGGTACTCATGATGGATGGCTCAATTGAGCATGCGCGTGGTGGAATACTAAGGCTAAGAACATACTCCAATTTGTGGATGTTGTTGGGAAAAAATATAAATTGATCGGTTTGAAACCTTACATAAATCAGCAAATGTCAATCACTAAGATACGGGAAAGATTGATATAAAGCACACCCTATCTGTTAATTTCTAACAGTTGTAGTGTTGCCACGCCATCTAATCGTGCATGCTTTTTGTCCCCAAAACATCAAATAACTGGAAAAATGTATGGAAAAAAGTTTATAGTTCATGATTAATGCACGTTCTTGAGTAGTTTTATGAACAACTTTACATCTTTACAATTTCTATTAAAATAAAGATTGTATGCTAAATATAAAGTTTAAATTATCTTTTAGTATGTTTAAATTTTATAAAAGTAATTATATGTCATTGAAAATTACAATTTCTTTTATCTCATTTGCAATCTAAAATAAATGTAGATTAAATATAAAATTAAAACAACACCAGTATTGATTCATGATCTTAAATAGTAGTACATTTTTACTTATGAAAAGATTATTTATAATACATGTATGTGTTAAAAAGGTTAGATTCCAACTACAGCATTTTGCATGACTGTTACCTTATATTGCATTATATGACATAAGATGAAGAATATGGTAGATTGTTTATCTTTGTTTTGATGATTTTGAAGGAAAAAAAAGCCACAACTGTTTTATTTTCATTTACACTAGTTTTTTTATATATTATAACCCAATGGTTTCGGTATAAATCATTTAATTTAATTGATAAAGTACGGTCTTAGTATCAATGCCTTCTAAGTCATACTTAAAGGAACAATGCTTAAAATAACACAAGAGAAGCGAGGTTTTGTTAAAATATACATGTAGGTCATATTTAAGTGGAATCTGTTGGCGTGCCACGTATTATTTTTTTCGATGCTTTTTGCGTATATTTTCACAATAAGTTAACACATTTTGTCATGGAGCTATATATTATTCAGTCTCTGAATGTAAGAGAGAACAAAGTAACAGAAAGCCATCTTTGTACTTTGATTTTCAAATTATTATGTTTGATTATCCTATGTTCGTGTTTAATATACTAGATTTGTTTTACGTATTTCTAGTGTAGTTAATATCATTACCCCTCACTTTTTTCGTAATGTTAATTTCCCATAGGCCTCTGGGAGTTATTCTTACTGTTAATGCAAGTGTACCACGTGACTAAGAATTTTGTACTGTTACATAGGTAACAGTATGTTTTAACAGTATAAAATCGGGTCACGTGGTTTATTTTCTAAATTAAATGAAATAAAATGGACGTCATTTTTTTTTCTCGATTCATTCTTACTTTCGACGTTAAAACCCGATAGGACATCAATTTCTTCTCTTGAGTAACTATGACACTCATAAAATTTAGTTGTTCGCACCCTGGTGTGCTTTTCGCGTATAAAATATCTTTTTGTTGAATAGTCAAAAAGTGAACATCCGTTTTCAACGAAAGTAATTGCAATGTAAATAATTATGTGTCAAACTGGAACATGCAGACAATTTGGCTGCAAAATGTGCAGGGAAAACCACAAGATTCAATTGGTGATTGGACAAAAATGTGATGTTTACAAGTATAAAAACTATTTTTACATTCTTTTTTAAAGACAATGAACTGTTTCTAAGATATTTTTTTCACTCGCATATCTGCATTTAAAACGAACATGCCAGTCCTCTTGTGACCAGCAGAAAATCTCAGTGTAAAGTGGGGTAATCATATTTGGCGACAATGTGGGCGGTCAATCCTATAAAACAAGATCATTTTAATGTGTCAGGCATGTCATTCTCCGTAGCATATATACTCAATTTTAAGATAGATTAAGACGCCATTTCTTCTAATATACGTCTATGGGAAAATTTATACAGTAGTCTGACCTAACATCGCAGACAATCATTTAACCAAACAACGTATTGATGCAAAGAAATGACATCTCCGAATGCGTGGGTTATTTTGGATTATTTTATATATGATGAAATGTAAGTTCAGCGCTTACTTGATAATGACACTAATTACTTGTGCTCATTTTGCTGTTTAATGACTTCTTTCATAGTTAAATGTTGAATTATAATATACACCTTCAACGTACATGTTTAACGTCTTCCCGGTTTACAGAATGTTGTATGGGTGCATATTACCTATTTTCTTACTTGTCTTCAGAAAGGTTGTCATCATAGGCATATATTGGCAGTTATATAATTTACAATGATATACATGTTTATTTAATGCTTTTCAGTGAATTACTGTTTTATCCGTGAAAATTATATTTGATAATTTTACAGTGAAAATTATGAAAATATAATTTCACTCTTTTCAATGACGAAACTACTTTCTTAAGATTTTCCCCATGTGGTTCCTCAATTTTATTTTTGCTGACACTTCTGACAATGTCAGGCTGTTCAGAGGAAAACATAGCTGAAATTGATGAATAACTTAAATGTCAAAAGTAATAAAAAAAGAAAACTTACTTATATTCATTCAAATTACCAATCACCAAATATCGTCTCTATTTGTTTTTGTTTCATTTTTAGTCTGAAAAATACATTCTTCTCACATGCAAAACTGCTCTTGATGACATTTGGGCATATTTAAGTATCCTACGAGCAATAACTGCCGTATGCTTTGTGAAAACTTGAAAAGTAATGACAGCCATCAGCCCGAAGAATAAGTTAACAGCCCAGCGTTCGTTAGGCAGCCTTCCAACAATTCCAAGTTTTCCAATTTCCTAGCCGCTTTTTGAATGTTTACACTTCTGTCAACACTTATTTATTGTCTGTTTCAATCCTCAAATAAGTTTTCTTTCTTTTAAAAAGGTGTTTGACTAACAAATCCAAATGATATCCGTCTGAATCAACCACAATTATTTTCCTCTCGTGAAATACACAACTTTTAAAGATGGCGGCCGCTTACATTTAACAAAGCCAGGTCTAATATTAATTCGCAATCAGTAACAGAAATATGGATGGATGGTTTGACTTTTTCTCCTACTAAAATTGTTTGTTTTTATTATAAAAACAAGCGATCATTCATATTTTTTCAAATAATATGAATAATATCACCGCCGTTTAACGTTGATTGCCGAACTTATTTTTCAACCTAAGTCTTCTTGTATTTAATGAGAAATTCGACTAAAATGAGGCTCTCAATGGGGAAAACAGATTTTATTATTAACGTTAATATTAAAAACATTTCGTTTTAACTTGTTTTTAATCATAAAAGAAAAAGAACATTTTATTTGTTTGTTGTGTAAGATGTAATTCTATTTCATCTCGTGAACTTTAAAAAAAAACAGTATTCTCACTTGTGGCTACGCCACTCGTGAGAATTCTATTTTTAAAGCCCACTCGATGAAATAAAATTTCATCTTACACACACACAAACAAACAAATATCCTCTATATATTATAATTATATGTGCTGGAATTGACAAATACACATTTTATTTGGATTTCAAGGCGTTTTTATAGCTCAATGTCGTAAGTCCATGTTTAATTAAATTTCTAACAGTTAAGAAATGTTGACATTTTAAAACGGAATTAAACGACCTTTTGCATATAAAAAAGGACATTCTGAAAACTTGTGGTCATTAACAATTTTTGGGTTAAAAACATTTACTTATTTTTTTCAAAATTGTTATTGGAGAGGTCATCAGACCTCGCCGCAGTGTTGAGAATGCTTGCTGGTGGCATCCATTTTTGCGTTTCAAATTGAAGCTAATACATCGCATTTTAAGCCTTAAAACATCAGAATCAGTCTACAAAAATGTTATGCGCATGCTCCGCCTCAAAAAACGACTTAACTTAAACGAAAAATAAACATCGAAGTGAACAATTCGGTACAAGGAAAAATCGGAAATTATCATTTACGTTACTTAACACTACGAGCAATGATTCATTTCATTTTTAATCCTTTAAACTGTAAAACTGGATATTTGTTTTCTGAATAGCGTTTTACTATTTCATGTTCCGAAAATTAGGAAGCACCATCATATGACCGAGTGAACGGTGTACCAAAAATTTGCTGCTACATTCACTTTTGAACTGGTATGACTAAAATACGTAACGGAGATTTTTTTGGCGCAAATGGCGAAAATGACACAACTTTTTCTTAAGTTTAATGTTTTTGCCATATTGTGGTTGGAGGCATGCAGCAGTTTATATAGTTTATTCCAATAAAATGATATATACATTATAAATGTAAATCTGGGACTTAAAATTTTTTGATTAACATACTTTATGCCCGTATTGGAAAATCTCTGGTGCCATTTATATCTCCAAATATTTTCGAAATGAACAAATCTTCAACAGGTGCAAAAAGACCTCTCGCATGCTTCTTTCTAAATAAGCAAACTTGTATCGAGAATATAGTTGACAATAATATAGCGGAAAAAAACCAAAGACACTTTAAATCCGAAATATTCCAAGTTGTTTTCTTTTTAAATTCTTTTGTAAAAAAAATAATATTGTTTCTAGTGACACATCATTTATGAAACACTGCAAGATATGTTGCCGTATACCATACGCTGGCGTATTCATGTACAATAAATCATAGATAAATGCTTCATTAATATGCATAGATATATGAAAATAATTAAATTCATATCAGTTAAACACATTTATAATCACATAATATCATGAACACTTAACATTATCCACTGAGAGTGCCAAGCAAGTTCGGGTTCTATTTATTTGGTGTTTTTCGATATTTTCATGCAAATGAGTCTCCGGCATCGTAAGCGTTATAAGGGGTCTCGTTATGTTCAACTAATCTTAAAACATTGGCAGAAGAAAACGCCAGAATTTTCTTCTTTGAGACAGTCCTAAGCACAAGCCAGATGAAAATAGTTTCGTGAGATACACTTTAAATCCGAAAG